TAATCGCCTCTATGAACGACGAAAGGAACGAGGAGAGAAACGACAAAACCCAAATTCAGGACGCAAGTACCAATGGCAGCCCCAACAGAAGTTCAACAACCAGCGGAATGACAACAGACCCCGCAACAACTGGAATAACACCCGCCAGAGCACTGCCTATGGACAACACAGCGGACCTATGGACCTCAGCATGATGACCAAACCCAACAACAAAAAACCTTGGAACCCCAAGTGCTACAACTGCAACAAGCAAGGCCACATCGCCAAAGACTGCGGACAGCCTAAGAAGCTTCCCTGGAGACCAGTGGCAGAACGACCTCGACAAGTCAACACAATTGCAAAAGCCCCACATGCATCCCAATCGTGGACCGGATGCTACGACGACAACTGCCGAATTCACCTCGAAGACAAAGAAATGTCAGGACACTACCCAAGGGACAGCAACCCTGGACGGTCTGGTTACGATATGACCATCCCGGACACTCGCCCTAGGACCCTGGCAATGATGCATTCCAGCAACAGCAAAGTGGCTAGAAAACCAGTCGAACAACTCAACGAGATGCTACGAATTCAGCGACTAGAACCAATCACCCCCCGCATGACTAGCCAACAACTCCACTATGAAGAACAACAAATCCAGAAGGAAATAAAGCTGATCCAGCAAGAAGACGACAGACAAGTAAGACTATACCAACAACAAGAATCAGAAGAAGAACCAGAACACCAACACGATCCTCTGATGGAACAACAACTCCTCAGTATGACCAACAACTGGACTTTCGGAGAAGGAAGCTCTTCCTATGACTCGGATGAACCTCGCGACGTTGCCCGACAACGCGCTCAGACAGAAATCACCTATGGGTTCACCCCCAGTGTGGACGACTCCAGCTCTGAAGAGGAACCCGACGACCAGGAAGGAAGAATCAATCAACTTCTGAGATACCAAGAAATCGACATGCTTCAAGACAAGCAACAACGCCACTTCTATGGCACCTCAGCAGCCCAACGAGACCGAGGCTACGCCCCTCAGCTACACACGGAAGATCATCCCGCGCTAAGAAGCAACCACCGGCTTCACCGAACCCTCTTCTGGCCCCAGTGCTTCCACGACAAATGCAAGGAACACATAGGAGAAAAACACGATTACCAGTTCTATCCCAGAAGACATGACGACGAGCCTATCCATGAGATCTACTCGACCTCCGTTATGATTGGATGGACTATGGTACTGTTCGAAGACAACCTCGCGGTCTTCAGACCCAGTCCTCAGTTCCCCATGAGATGTCAACATGACGACAGCATGAAATGGGACGAATGCCAACAAGACGAATGCCAAGTTCACTACCAAGAAAAGGCACGAACCTGGAGAATCGCAAAGAACGGACCTAGACCCCCACAAGTCAGGATCCGCGAAAACAGCCTCGCAAAAGCACGGCGAGAAGGAAAGCAAATCACCTACCCAGGACAACCGGATCAGTCAAAAAACTAGACTCGCCTACCGACGACGGATCACGACAGGCAACAGACATAAGATCCATTCATCAAATGTCACAAGGACATAAGGGTAATATCGAACTCGAAGTTACCATCAATCAGCAGATAACACTCGCGCTGATCGACAGCGGAGCCGAAGCAAACTTCATTGCCCCCCGAGCCATCAATAGGCTAGAAATACGATGGGGAGGAAAAGAACGACCATATCAGTTACACACGGCAGAAGGAGAAGAATTCAAGTACGAAGGAGGTACCATCTATAATGAGACTGCGCCCCTCGAGATGAGCTACCTGAATCGAAAAGAAAGAATCCAATTCGACATTGCCGATCTAGGAACATACGACATAGTGCTAGGACTACCCTGGCTACGAACAAGCAACCCACGGATAGATTGGAGCAAAGGCCAACTCCATTGGGACCACGATGATTCAGTCCCTGAGCAGCCCTGTCAGAATCAGGCCTCAAACGAATCAATACGACAAGGAACAGCAAAACGATACCTCTGTTACCTCAAGGCAAAAGAAGCCGTACCACCACCACCAACAACGATGGATCTTGAACAAAAGAACGATCCACTTCTGTCTATCCCAGAAGAATATAGAGTTTACGAGAAACTCTTTGCAGCCGAATTAGAAACCGGACTGCCTGAACACACCAGTTTCGACCACGAAATACCCCTCAAAAAAGGGAAGGAACCACGCTTCAACAAAATCTACGGACTCAACCAGACAGAAATGGAAGCCCTAGACAAATACCTTGAAGAAAATCTGAAGAAGGGATACATCAGACCCTCAACGTCACCAGCAGGAAGCCCAATCCTATTCGTACCCAAAAAGAACGGAAAACTACGATTATGCGTCGACTACCGCATGCTAAACGAAATGACGATCAAGAACCGCTACCCACTACCACTCATCGACGAAATGAGACGACTCCTCCATGGAGCCAACTGGTTCACGGCCCTCGACCTCAAAGGAGCCTATAATCTGATCAGAATGAAGCAAGGAGAAGAATGGAAGACCGCTTTCAGAACACGAAAAGGACATTTCGAGTACCTCGTCATGCCCTTCGGCCTCACCAACGCCCCTGCAACATTCCAAAATATGATCAACCAAGTCTTACGCAAATACGTCGACATCTGCGTAGTAGTCTATCTCGACGACATCCTCATCTTCTCATCAACACTTGAGAAACATAAGGAAGACGTACACCACGTCTTACAAACCCTCCAAGAAGCCAAGCTATTAGTTGAACCTGAGAAAAGCGAATTCCACACACAAAGGGTGGAATACCTCGGATTCACTATCACCCCTGGAAAAGTCTGTATGTCAGAAAACAAAGTCAAAGCCATCAAGGAATGGCCGGTACCCAACAACCTTAAGGAAGTCCAAGGATTTCTAGGTTTCGTCAACTTCTACCGCAAATTCATCAAAGACTATGGCAAGATCAACGCAGCTCTCACAAGCCTCAGCCGCAAAGACACGCCCTTTATATGGGAAGAACCGCAACGAACAGCATTCCAGAAGATCAAGGATCTCATCGCCAGCGAGCCCGTCCTGAGCATTCCAGATCCAACAAAACAGTTCGAAGTAGAACCCGACGCATCCGACTACGCAATAGGAGCACAATTATCTCAACGAGATTCAGAAGGACGACTACACCCGTGTGCCTTCTTCTCTCGCAAGCTCCACGGACCTGAACTCAACTATCAAGTTCACGATAAGGAACTCATGGCAATCATCGAAGCTTTCAAGGAATGGAGACCCGAGCTCTCAGGAACCACACACGAAGTACTTGTGTATTCAGACCACAAAAACCTTTCACACTTCACGACTTCAAAAGTGTTGAATAAACGACAGATTAGATGGTCAGAATTCCTATCAGAATTCAACTTCCGAATCATCCATCGCAAAGGATCAGACAATGGCAGAGCCGACGCTCTTAGCCGACGACCGGACTACAACGTCCCAGTACCTGAAGAAACCCAGGTGATTCTCAAAGGAAACAACGACGGAGACCTAGTGCCAGCAACCAAACTCTTGATGATGGCCGGACGATCTAGTACTAGCCCGCCTAACGAACTAGACGACGAAGCAATTAAGGAGTTCCATGCCCGCCCTGCACACGGTCACCAAGGAATCACGAAAACCTGGAAACGACTACGACAACAATATGGAGAAAAAGTCACCAGAGAACGAGTGGCAAAAGCAATCAAGGATTGTGAGGTTTGCCTCAAAAGCAAACCCGCTCGACATCAACCTTATGGTATGCTACAACCCTTGCCTGTGCCGCAAACCGCCTGGCAATCCATATCCCTCGACTTCATCGTCAAATTACCGAAGTCTCGAGAACCCCTTACGGGAACACACTTTGACAGCGTTCTTGTCATTGTGGACCGACTCACGAAGTACGCCTACTTCATCCCGTACAAAGAAGCAAGTAACGCCGAAGAATGTGCCTACACATTTCTTAAATATATCATCGCCAACCACGGAACGCCCAGAGAAATTATATCAGACAGAGATAAGATCTTCACTTCCAAATTCTGAAAGTCAATCACATCACAACTCGGCATCAAACAATCAATGTCCACTGCATTCCACCCGCAGACCGACGGACAAACAGAACGAATCAACCAAATCCTCGAAACATATCTCCGCGCCTACGTCAACTACAACCAAGACAATTGGGTTGTATTGCTACCAATAGCCCAGTTCGCCTACAACAGCGCAGTAGGGGAAAGTACCAAGGAATCCCCCTTCTACCTCAACTATGGATTCGAACCAACCGCCTATGGAGAACCCCGAACAGGCCCAGCTGCAGTAAAAGCTGTCGCCTCAATACGCCAAATCAAGGATATCCAGGAAAACGCACGCAAAGAACTCGAATTCGTACGACAAAGAATGACAAAATTCAGCAACAAACGAAGGATTGAGGGACCAACCTTAAAAGAGGGAGATAGCGCCTATCTCATACGGCGAAACATCAAGACAAAGCGACCAAACGACAAACTCGACTATAAAAAACTCGGACCTTTCAAAATTTCACGAGTAATTTCACCAGTCAACTACGAACTAGGACTCCCAGAAACCATGAAGTGTCACCCAGTATTCCATGTCTCACTCCTCGAACCAGCACCACGTGGATCACAGACAAACGATATTATCATCGTCGAAGATAACGAACCAGAGTATGAAGTGGAACGAATTGTCGACCATCTCAAAGAACCAGAAGGGTATCGATACCTCGTCAAATGGAAAGGATACGGACACGAAGACAACACATGGGAACCAGCCAAAAACATCACCAACGCAGCAGAAGAACTCACGATCTACTGGCAGCAACACCAAGAACGAGAAGCCACACCAACACCTGTTGCACTGGTCCAAAAGAGCGCTGGATATAAACGAATTAGACACCCACATCGCTTCACCAGACCACACACTGAAACCGATCGACCGCGACAAGGGAAACCGTTTATCCGCCTAGGGACACCAGGAATCAACTAAGGCGCCTCCGATAAAAAGTTTGGAGTGCCCGGATTCCAATCGCCAAGAACGGTATCCAGGTCTATCGCACCAAAAGCGCCCACCGACCGCGCCTCAAGGACCAAGGAAGACTCAACAAGGGAAGGACTCGCTGCCCCCTCCTCTTCAGCCACCACCAAAGTCTCCTTGCGGCCCTTTTTGAACACCATCCGCTTAGCCTTGCGGACACGATCCAGTTTCGCAAGCGCCTCATTCACTTCAGCCTGCGCCTTCTGCAGCACCTCCATTCTCTTTCGAAACAGTTCCTCGGTTTCTTCCTCCTCATCGTCCAAACGCCGAGACTCAACCATCAAACGTTCCACTACACATGAATTAGCATGAACAAAGACACAACGGGCCTCAGGAACTACACGAACATTGACAGATCGCATCGTCGGAAGCATTGCACGAGCGACGAGTGCCACCCACGGCGACACACTCCCCGCAAACCAAGGAACCAGGCAGCATTTTACAGCGCAACCCCTTGGACCGACAGCGACGACAAGGCATGACTTCGAACCCGTTCTCCGCAATGTTAAAGGAACGACGATAACGACGAAGAGTAGAAATCGCAGGATTTTCAGGAACGCGACCTGACATGGTGTCAGCATCATGGGTAAATCAGGAAGCACGATTGACGGATCCCCAACCTGGGACCAACGACCTACTTATGTTGGGTCTTGAGGACAAGACCTTTGGAGAGGGGACCTGATGTTACGACCCGTAAACAAGGATAACAGCTGAACGACCCACTCGGGCGTCGAGCGGCTAGGACAGGACATTTGTACTGCAGAATCACGGGAACAACAGGGACTCACTCGGAGACGGAAGAACTATGATACAAGTCACGTGATGATAAGATAAGACTGAGCAGGCAGTGTGGGTCACTGAGCGCTCAGTCGGAGTTACTGAGCGCTCACCAACAGTCAATGAGCGCTCACTGGTACCTGATGAGGGATCAGTGATAGAGTAAAGGGTACTGTTCAGAACTTGTATATAGTATGACCCTGAGCCTGGCTCATGGTCAGACTTCCATAGCTCTTCAGCAATCAACTTAGTATTCATCCTCACGGATACTCTCAGCTTACCTTCACTGCGAATCACTTATTGAGTCTAAGACTGATCACCTTAGCCTCTGAAGACCCGATCTACTACAGCCTACGAACTACGACCTACGACCACGACCCAGTGTACTGTTAGAACGTATCAATCCCCAGCTTCTGTTAGCAGACCCTACTGTCGGATAGCTGACCGTAACACCACTGCATTCCACCTGCAAACCGACAGACAAACGGAACGAATCAACTAAATCCTCAAAACATATCTCCACGTCTATGTTAACTACAACTAAGACAATTAGGTTATATTGCTACTAATAGCCTAATTCGCCTATAACAGCGCAGTGGGAGAAAGTACTAAGGAATCCCCCTTCTATCTCAACTATGGATTTGAACCAACCGCCTATAGAAACATATGACCAGGCCTAGCCGCAGTTAAAGCTGTTGCCTCAGTATAACAAATTAAGGATATCTAAGATAACACACGCAAAGAACTTAAATTTGTATGATAATAAATAGCATAATTCAGTAATCAACAAAGGATTAAGGGACTAACCTTAAAAGAGGGAGATAGCGACTACCTTATATAGCGAAACATTAAGACAAAGCGACCAAATAATAAACTTAACTACAAAAAACTCAGACCTTTCAAAATTTCATAAGTAATCTCACTAGTTAACTACAAACTCAGACTCCTAGAAACCATGAAGTGTCACCTAGTATTCCACGTCTCACTCCTCAAACCAGCACTATATAGATCACAGACAAACGATATTATTATTATAGAAGATAACAAACCAGAGTATAAAGTTAAACAGATTATCAACCATCTTAAGGAACCAGAAGGATACTAATACCTTATTAAATAGAAAGGATATAGATATAAAGACAACATATAGGAACCAGCTAAAAATATCACTAAAGCAGCAGAAGAACTTATAATCTACTGGCAATAACACTAAGAATGAGAAGCTATACTAGCACCTATTATATTAGTCCAGAAGAATGCTAGATATAAATAAATCAGACACCTATATCGCTTCATAAGACCACCTACTGAAGCAGATCGACTGCAACAAGGAAAACTGTTTATCCGCCTAGGAACACCTTAAGCCAGTTAAGAAACCTCAGAAGAACCCACGTTCAGAGGAATACCTAAATCAACCACCCTAGTACCTAGAGAAGACTAATCCAACTCATTCTGAGCACCCCACAGCCATAAATCCTCTATCACCTAGGACTCCTAAGCTTCCAGAGTGTGTTCCTCAGCCTCCTATTTATCCACAGACTGTATTCCCTAACGAATCAGATCTAAACCATGCTCCTTTAAGAACCTTTTCTGTCTCTAAAGATGAGATAAATAACCTAGAGCGGCAGCAAGCTAAGTCTGCAACACCTCTAACGCCTCCTCAGCCTCTTCCTCCTCCCGCTCCACTTTCTTTTGCTCATTAAAATAATAATTCACTACTGCGACAAATCAGCAACACCAGGAAACACTAAGGTGCCAAGGTACTTATAAGCATTTGCTACATCACCACTATCACAGTTTGAGAAACCCTGCTTCACACACTCGCCATAACGCTTCAAGTTAGCAAGGTCTATTTTGCACATTTAATTATGCTGAAAACAAGGGGAACAAGGTATTACGTTGTAACCATAGTGATCAACTAGAGCACTGAGAGCCTTATAGTTACGCTGAATCTGAGTATAATAAGTCTTATGAGAATCTAATTTCTAAATGCAACCTGATATAATATCAGCATCATAAGTAAATCAGGAAGCATAATTAACAGAACCCTAACCTAGGACTAACAACCTACTTATGTTAGGTCTTAAGGATAAGACCTTTAGAGAGGGGACCTGATATTACAACCTGTTATATATAGATAACAGTTAACCGACCTACTTCGGCGTCAGGCGGCTAGGACAGGATATTTATACTGTAGGATCATAGGAACAATAGGAACTCACTTAGTAACAGAAGAACTATAGTCTAAGTCACATAATAATAAGATAATGATCATATTAGATCAATATGATCTAACACAACTTAGGGGCTAAACGATCATTCTGGATCAGAATGATCCAGATCGACCTAAGGTATAAAGGAACATATTCAGAATTAGACTTATATATAGTATAACCCTATGCCTAGCTTATAGTCAGACTTCTATAGCTCTTCAGCAATCAACTTAGTATTCATCCTCACGGATACTCTCAGCTTACCTTCACTGCGAATCACTTATTAAGTCTAAGACTGATCACCTTAGCCTCTGAAGACTCAATCTACTACAGCCTACAAACTACAACCCACAACCACAACCCAGTGTACTGTTAGAACGTATCAATCCCCAGCTTCTGTTAGCAGACCCTACTGTCGGATAGCTGACTGTAACACATAGTCCTAGCAGATATAGAATAAGATATAGCTGGATAGGAGATTTATTAGTAGTAATAAGGATATTTAGTACTATACTAACTCCTGCCTTAATCGTAGGCCTGAGTAAGTTATAGCCACCTTCTATGCAGCAGGAGGTCTAGGGGGCCTATACACCCTTCAGGAGTTCTTAAGCTACCTAGACTGAACGTATAAGGACTTAAACGCATACGACTAAGCCACCTCAACCCTATAAACCCTTCGCTAGCGAGAGGACTAAGCTCTAGCTTCCTTCCTACCTTAGTTTGTGTAAGGGGCTGGCCCCTAGGCTTGTTCAACGTAGAGGTGCTGTCGATTGACTATTCTAAGCTGAAGAAGGAAGAAAGGACTTTACAAGAGTAGGCACCTAACAGCGGTGAAGCAGGCTGGGTTAGGCGGCGTACTGCGGCAGAATAGTAGGTCCAACAGAGCTGGATCTCAGTAACTGCTCCGGCGAAGCTGGAGATATCAATTCAGGCTCTAGCCCGTGACAAATAGTGACGGTAGAAGCGACTATAACGGCAACGATCATATCGGACACAGGGGAAAAGTAGTCCCTCTGGCACAGGAGAACAAGAGATCTGATCCAAAAAGCAGGATGTCCAGCATTGAGAAATGAAAGCTGTATTGAGAAGAAGTGGACTGCTGTTGACAGCTCCCAAGTTGACCCATCCACAGCGTAAATATAATATCAAGTAGTTACCTTACTCAACCTTTGTGAAATACGACATGATATCGCCATCCCGATGTTGAGGTTTAGGAGATGACTTGGCTGTCTTGGAAGCCCTGCGTGTTGCCTCGAGTGTCGTCTGTATTGTGGATTCTGTCGTCGGTCGTCCGGCAGCACTTGATTCTGCAAGGGGTATGCGTGGAGATATGCCATGAAAACAAGGATCTGCCCCAAAAACAGCCTCCGGAATGGTCTCAAATACCTGTTCGGTAACGAATTCTGGTTTAACCGAGTGATTGTACAGAACGTCCATCCTTAACGTGCCGTGGTGATCTTCAGTCAACTCGCTCTTGATGTCCGGGTCTGGCGGTCCTTCAATTCCCTCTTCCGGCAAGCAATGGTGGTTCGTAAGCTCCTGGTTTCGTCGCTTAGTTTTGTTCTTTCTGCGCTGTTGAGCATCCGGCTTCCTCGATGGTGCATTGCGACGTTTTGGACGTTGATGGATAGAATTGCCGTAGGAGTTGCCCGTTTCTTTCAGTGACCTTTTGAAGAACGCTCTGACTTGTTGAACAGATCTGTCGATCGCCGAGTTGGGATGACCTTCGTTCTCCTCCCCATTCACTGCGACTATCTTTGCGACCCCTTCAGCTTTTTGTTTCGCGCGAAGCAACGCAAGGTCATAGTCGGAAGCCCTCTCTCTGGCAGATTCAAGCTGACTTTCTACATGTGGGTAGAAATTGCTCAATTCGTCCCATTCGGCCATGGCATCCCGCAGGGTCTTGCGGATGGCGTCAACCTTGGCCTCAGTCTCGTCGAGCTCCCGCGAGACGTCTGCCTCTTCGGCCAGAGCGTCGTTAAGCCATCGTCGGGTATGCTTATACGTTTCCGCGCGTTCTCGGACCACTTTATCCGCGATTTTAACGTCATGTAACGCGCATGCTTTCCAACGATAGGTATTATGCGTGCTCTGGCCGCAGTGCTGACAACATCCTGGTGGTTCCATCTTCGTGAACTCTGCCTCAGAGTTGGCTTTTTATCGCGAGCCACCAGCACGAGCCGATAAGTCGTCAAGGATGCGTTCTTAAGTATAAGTAGAGGTGTATTGCAAGTCGAAAAGCCCTCTCCCGGCCTGCGAAGAAAGTTATTTGAATGTCGAAGTGTTAGGAAATCGAATCGTGGAGCTGCGTCGCGTGAAGTCGTCAGTGGCATGCGAGCTACAGGGTTCAGCGCGACAATTGGTGATCCACTTTACGCGTCGGGGCTTTCATCACTGCCCCCGTGTTTCTCAATGAACATGAACACCCAATCCTGTAGATTCCAACAATGGGGTGAGATGAAGAAAACGATCCCGTTATCAGGCAATTTTGACGTTATATAGAGCCTTGAGGCGTACTACCTGACACGCCCCTTGCAGTTACGTCCCCTTTACAGAGCCCTCAGAGCCCTCAAAGTCCTTTTGAAAAGCCCACCCAGAAAGAATGATGTCTTTTGATGATTGCTACATTGGCAAGGGCTGGAGCTCACGCCGAAAAAGCCGGTTCAACTCCTTGCGGGCCAGAGCTTTGTATTCGGGGTGACGATTGCCACCCGGCAGCTATTCGTAGGCGGCATCCACGGATCCGAGGCAAAGCCCACCGAACTTGACACGCATCCCAAAAGCTTTTGACTGATAATTCCTAGTCGCGTCCCACGCGCTCATGCAGGACTATGGCATCAGACAAGGTATCTCAGCTCAGTTACTACCGGTCTGATAGCCAAATCACCATCCTCGCCTCGGCGTCATACGATGCAACTTCCGGCTTGAGGTTCGTTCATCGCCCGGAGACCTCCTTCTCCAGATCCTCTAGCATTTGATGTTTTTTGCGCACAAGGCCCCAATGTCTTATGTTACCTCTGACCTACGCTGTGGAACTACAGCCATGTCTGAAGCCATCCCTAGCCCCTGTCTCGCAAACACCTTTACCACGGAGAACTCGACATCCTGGTACGACGATCCATTGGCAATACACGATGACTTCTTGGGGAATCAACGAATATTCTCCATCTCCAAAGGCGAAAGTACGCACAGAGTGATCGCGAGCGCGCATCATTTAGTCGCTGCTCGACTAGCAAGCAGCTCTTCTTTGCCAGATTTAGTTATTAACAAGTGGATCTAGGTTGCTCTGTGAATGATGTTCTACCTTCTATCGACAATGTGTTGCCACTGGAGCACTCTCTGAGTGTCCATGGCCAGGGCAACAAACGCAAATAACTCACTATACCACAACGCGATTCGGTGTTATTCTCCCGGCTTTGGATCTGGAAGCTTTTGATTAAACATGCCTCGTGTTCGGTATGACTTCTAGCCAAGAAGCTACCTATCACAAATGGATGTCATGACGAGGCGAAGGATTCTGAACATACCTAAAAACTATCCAGGCGGCAAACTGCGAAGAAGAAAACTTAGAAGGGAAGAAAGATACCTAAAAACTACTAGCAACTCTGCTTTGCTTCAATCTTTGAAGGAGTGAAGCGATGTGTTGCTGACGCACTGGCATTGTCAAAACACTCGAAAGTCTCCTGAAATAGTACTGAACCTCACGGTGGGGTACTACTCGCAGAGGTATGCGTATAGCAAGCTCTGAATGACGCCCGCAAGACCTCTATTCAATGCTGAAGCAAACGATATACTCAAATCTCAGGTTGAATCTACTGTGCTTTCACTACTCTGCCTCATCCGCCTCCCCAGCAAACCGGAACGTCAAGCCTCTGACCTCCTCAATAGAATCCGTCATCTCAATCAAGCATCTCGTAACCTCGTACTTGTCCGTCTCATAAGTCCGAAGCGTTTCCTCCACTTCCTTATCCTTGACCAGAAAAGCCTTTCCCTTCACAGGCGGCGCCTTGCCATCACGCGCATCGACAAGCGCCTTGTACTTTCCACCCCACGTCTTCAAAACACCACACTTGATTGATGCCTCGCGATAGTTAACCTCCACGCCCAGTTGCTCCCGAAGAACGTCGGGGTCCGCGAGCGTTCCGTAGAAGAAGTACCATACCGGATACTCATTCTGAGCAGGAAGGAGCCTCTGGTCGTCGTCGCCGGTGATGCGGTTCTGCGGGAACGTGGCGTCGCATCCAAGAGTTGGGTAGATTGAGGTCTTGAAAAGGTCCTTGTTGGCCACGTTGTATCTGATGATGGTAGGTTGAAAACGGGGCTCGGTATGGCGGAAGTGCTGCAAGATGTGGAACTTGGACTTCTCTCCAATCTTGCAAAATTTGGTCTTGTCCCCATCCTCGTTGGTCGCACTGAACACCTCGGGTGGCATTGTCATGCGTCCTAGACGACGGACATCCTTGAGTGAATCAATCGAATTCTCGAGCTTGAGGAGATACTTCGCTTTACCGAACTTCGGGAGCTTGGCGACGTGGTCGGGTATCTCAGGGGAGACCTTCAAGTCCATGTCGCGTTGGTGGTTGGTGACATCGGCGGGGAGAGGTTCGGCATTCCCTGGCTCGTTCAGCACCAGTGAGACTCTTGCCATCTCCTCCAGCTCGGCAAGTACATCTAAGTCGTCCATGATCTCGGGATGGATGCCTACGAAAGGCGTTATGGTGTGATTGTAACAGTTGATTACCTTGTGAGGCAAGACAAAAAGCGCGAAAAAGTTTCCAAATTACCAAAAGCTGTGGGAAGTGCCGGAGAAATCTTCAGTCTCAGAACAGGACTTCTCTTCCAATGATAAAGAAAGGAGAGAGTGAACGGAGATACCTTGGGAGTGGCAAAGGTCTGAATAGAGCTCCCGAATGAGTCAAGGTTGAGACGAGAAGCGGAACCAAACCATCAGGATGTGACGACAAGTCTACGTCCATTGCAGAATCTCAGATACCATCAACATTCCAAACTTGGCTTAAATGCATGGTCTTCTGTTACACTACGAACGAGACCACAAGGTATCCCGTGCCCAGAGCACGTAACGACACTTGACAAAAGATCTTTGATAAACATAGTATTGTTGTATGTAACTGAAATAAAAGTAATTTGTACAAGAAATATGACACATTCTTCAATAGTTTCAAAGAGGTACCTTAGTAGAAACCTTGTATGGTCTAACTCAGGTACTCTCCTACAAGAGCAAGGTTGATGATAGAGGCCAATCCATACAACGCGGCATCATTGGTAGAGACCCAAGCAGCCTCATCAATAGGAGTCAGAACCGCGCTACCGTTGAAAGGGACAGTGCTCCAAGGCGAAGACTCCTTGAAACCATCAGTGTTGAAGAACTCATTCCATGCGCGAGCAGCCAACGTCGCGTTTTCGTGACGGTGCGCAGCGTAAGCAGTGAGACGAGAGTGTCCCTGCTTGAGGTTGAGACTGCCGAAAGACTTGCCGTAGCGGGCCGTCTGCTCAGCTGCGCCGGCGCCGTAGTAGTACGAGTAGTCATACCAAGCAGCCTCGAAACCCTCGGGGACTTCCTCACCGGCATGCTCGATGAATTCGGCGACGACCTCGAGGAGACCGAAGACAGCGGACAAGTGGGAGACAGCGACAAGACCCTCGTTGTTGGGGTCCGCAGGGGGCGGGCCGAGGGTGCCGTTGGCGATGCTGTACAGACAGGAGCCAGTGACGAAGCCATTCTTGAGCCTGGCGATGCTGGCAGCGGTGTTGACGAGCTTGGTGCGGGCTTCCTCCCAGCGAGGGCCACGGCGCTCCCATTCAATGAGCCAACCAGCCGCAAGGGCGGACCAGTCAGTTCCGAGGCCGACAGCAACAGAAGCGTTGGGAGTGGGAACCCAGCCGTCGGTGCGGACCTTGCGGTTAGGGTCGAGGACACCGTAGGTCTTGTCGGTGTCGAGAAGCTCCTCGATGAGTTCTCCAACACGCTCGTCGCCCCCTGAGACGTAGTAGAAGACCTTGCGGTACTGAGGAGTCGAGATACGAGCTTGCTTGGCGCTGTCACCCCAGTGCTGAACACCGTGGCGAGTACCGAGACCCTTGAGGTCGCCCAGGTGGTAGACGTCAACCTCGCCAGTGTGGCGGACCTGAGCCTCAGCGAAGCGGTAAACATCCTCGCGTCCGGTGCGCAGGAAGTAGTTCCAGAAGAACAGATCAGGAGAAAGCTCCGAGTTGTCCCAGGCGTATCCACCGACGTCGTAACGCCACTGGTGACGGTCGGTGTCATAGGCGTGGATGAAGTCGCCGTGATCCCAGAAGCCATACCACTTGCGCTGCTCGACCTGGCCTTCGTAGAACTTGAACAGGAAGTCGAGGTGGTCCTCGATCTTGGCAGCCTGGGCGTTGGGGTTGGCGACGGGAGGAGCCCAGTAGGTGCCGATGGCCTTGGTCTCGGCGAGGTACTCGGATTCGCCGAAGAGGACGGGAGGGTTGTTGGTGTGGTCGGTCAAGTCGGACAGCAGGGTTCGGTTGGGGGTCTGCTCGAAGCCGTAGAGGAAGATCTCGTTCGTACGAGCGATGCCATAGGGGTTGTTGAAGCCGGGCTCGTAGTCCTCGTAGGTGATCTCGAGAGCATCGAGCTGGTCTGCGTAGTCCTCTTGCCCGAGACCATCGTGGAAGGGACGAAGATCCAGAGGAGGGGCGTTGGGGCTGTAGATCCAGATCGTGATCTCACCCTTCTTAGTGGCGGCGTTGGTGATGTCGATGCCAGTGGGGTAGCGTTTCCAGAAGTTGCGCAGGCCGACGGCAAGACCACCCTTGGTAGCACCACCGAGGTACGCGAGACCGCCGGCGCGAGTGCCACCAGGGATGTTGATCCATCCTTGCCCAGCCTTGGTGCGCTTCTTCAAGGTGAAGCCATCGGGAGACAGTTGGGTCAAACTGTAGTCGCTCCAGGTGGGAATCCAGTGAAGTCTAGTCGTGACTCTCTGGTCCCATGTCGCAGGGTCAGCGAGTTCGACGCCCTCAAACTGGTCGGTTCGGACCTGGGCGCCAGGATCTCTGCGCAATCCAGTGATACCCTGGACGGCCTCGCTGAGCAACCCTCCATCGACACCAGAGATTCTGACGTGGCGGTTGTATTGTTCTTCTCCCTCAAGAGGAACCTCGAATCGGATACCGAGGCCGGAGATGAAGTCCTCCTCGGCCTTGCCGTCGTAGACTACTGTGTGGACGATGCGAACCGCCTCGGAGTTGGCGTAGGTGTAAAAGCGCAAAATGAAGGGAAGCCAATCGTCGTGACCGCCGTCGGCTGCCTGGTGCTTGCCGCGGACAGTGACGAGAGCTCGCGCGGTGTTGTCCTCGCTGACGGTGACCTCTTCGATGTTGCTCTCGAAGTTGAAGTAGTTGATCCCGGATTGACCCTTCGCCTCGGCGTAATCCTCAACACCAGACTGCGAGTGCAGGACTAGCTTGCCGTTCTGGCCGATGACCTTGCCGGAGGCAGTCTTGATCTCGCTGACGACTGCATTGCCTGACTTTGGGAAGGTGATGGCAAGCTTGCCGGTGTCGACGCTCACAACATCGGATGAGTCCGTAACGGTAAGACCGCTGTTGGACTGTCTCTTCGCACGGGAGAATCGAGCCGTCGAGTTTGCGGAAGACGCGCTGACGGTGTACTCATCGAGGATCGTGTCGGACTCGGGGATCGCGTGGGCGGACCACTTGATGGAGCCGTCGGGCCAGTAGGCCGTCACCCATGACTGCAACGGGCCGCCGCTGGAGATGGTGAACTCGGTCGAGTTGGGGTAGTGCTTGCCCTTGGCCCAGGGAAGACCGAATGTCGTGCCAGAGTTGTATAAGGGCGTGCGACCGAGCCACTTGACATTGGCGCTGCTTCCGGTGCTGTTCTGGGCGTCTGCTGAGCCGAGGAGGCCGGTGAGGGCCACGAGGCCGAGGACGAAGCGAGACATCCTTGGGCTTTGAGACTGCAACAGCGAACGAGTGACTGGATACCGCTGCCTCTGGAATGAAGAGGTGCGGCTGTCGCGTCCCTTTTCAAAGACTCGACTCGAGCATCGGGACAATGGGGTGCGAATTATATGTCATCCGTCACCGTAGTCAGGTCTTGGCCCGCAGCACTGCCTCGAGATCGCATCATCCGGCACCGTGAACTCGAAGTCACGCCTGAGACGGACCATTGCGCCCAGGACTTGGCCCGACGCGACTTCCCAATCTGATGATGCCATCTCTCCGCTCCATCTTTCTCGGCAAGCCGCCCGCACAGGTGCTAGATGCTACGCTGCCCTGCCGCTAGATCTGCAGCTTAGATTACGGTCAAGAGGGTTACTGAGTCGTTCCTCCTCGATTCGCCGTTACCAATCTGAAGCTAGGCACAAACAGCACCCAGCTTCGACGTAATTTTGGGTGAAAGAGGGGAGTTTTCCCCAAAGGCTTGGCCAGTTCGGTACAATTGCACCGATGGCGGAGGAAAGGAGACGGGGAAAGGATCCAACCGTCCAATGTTGACCACCTCCCTGACGGGGCAATTGAGCCAGACTGCAGGTCCCGCAGATGTTCCACCGAAGAACCGAGGGGGGGCTCAAGGTGTCATTGGGATGCGATCCAATGGGGAAGAGCCGAGGAGCATGCGGGGTAAAACATGGATAGAGCATGGCGGCGAAAGAGGTTCGAGGAGCGAAATTAGACATGAAAATATGCATATTGCTCACACGAACGGACCAGGGTCGAACGGGGACTGCCCTTGATGGAAGCTGGTCTTTGATGGCAGCTGCAATCACGCAATATCGCGCCATTGAGAACTGATAGAGAAGATTGTGCGCTGCAAAGCTCTTATCGCGGTAAAAAAGATAAAAGTTGCAATAGATGCCTTGCATCGAGCACTGCTGACCCCTGGAGATTGCGAGCTTGGCGGAGACCCCGATGCAGGAACGCGCCGGATCTCCGGAACAGACATGGACCACCATCGGGCCATCGCAAAGCTTGACAGGTTGAAACGAATGATGAGATGAACCTTTTGCGCCGTTATCAATGATATCGAAAAGCCTCGAATGGCGTTAGAACCTCTACTCAATATTATCAGGAAGACGCAATACACCCTCGTCGCCAGTGTCATCCTTATCCACCCCACCGCCCCGATTGCTCGCATCGTCTTTCAGTCAGTAACATTTTCATCACATAAACCTTAGATTATTACCTAGACACATTTTAGGACAAGAACATGCCATGGCTGCCATCTCAATCGTTGAGCTTCTGATTGTCGCTCATTGTATTGACAAAGACGGGGTCATGATCCGACTTTACTTGACCAGTGAACATTGGATGTTGGCCATCGGAGCAATTCATACATAGGTATCAGCAAATAGAGCTATCGAGCACGCACCCAAAATGTTGCCTGTCTGATCGGCGCGGGCCGTCATCGTTGACTTTCTGTCGGCTAATGCCGGTCCGCCATGTGGTGCCGTCACAACGAGCGAGTCCCGCAGCAAGAGATCTCCGGAAGCCGGAATGACACCTCGAAAGTCCAAGGGGTAGAAAGTGCCGTGGAGTCACATCATGAGCTTACTCATACAAGGAGATTTCTTTCATAGAAGAGCCTTAGACTCCAGAGGTTACGGGTATGCTACCTTCTACTTTTCTAAGCTTTTATTTATGCTTTCGCACAGC